ATTTCGAATCAAGAGCGTGACTTATCTTTCAACTTTGAAATTATACTTCAATCAAATTTTCGGCTAAATCAGCTCAATATTGTTCTTAAGCTGACTTGTTTTTCAAAATCCCCACAAAGAGGTTCTCCAGACCCACCCTCTCCGACCCCGTTGCAGCCGAGTGAGTCCCTCTCAGTCCCCTTTTGAAGCTGGTGGGGAGTCCTTCAGGTCCCCTTCGATGGGGTGGCTTTTTATGCTTCTTAGAAACCCTCCACCCCCCCCCCCAAAAAAAAAAAATCGCAGTTCTACCCATAGATGTTTTAGAATCTTCTCTTGCTGCCCTTGGTTTACGATGATGTTGTTTTTCATTGCAGCTTGGGAATGCGACATGACGGACCGATGGCTAACAACAACTGCGATCCCGGTAGTTATTTAATGTCACCCACCTTAGGTAGCGGGAAGATCACATGGTCGACGTGTAGCAGGCACTACTTGCATCATTTTTTACAGTGAGTCATATACGTTCCCTGGTAAAAATTGGTAATAGGAGCTGTGTTTCAAAATACCATAGGAATTCTAATAGCCGGTTATAGAAAGCGTTAGATAATCATATAGCTAGCTGTAGAAAGCGTAGAAAACCATATGGCCGGGCTATGCGAAGCGATAACAAATATTATACAGCCGGGCTATGCGAAGTGATAACAAATTATACAGCCGGGGTATGCAGTTTATCGCCTGGCTGAAAATTGAATGCCATCGGCTATGAAAGGCTGTAAGAAATTGCATAGCCGGCCGTAAAAGCTATAGGAAATCTTACAGCCGGCTGTAGGTCTGCATTATTTGGGAACACAGATCCTACTGCCAATTTTTATCAGGGTTTCGCCTTTGAAAGTTACGACTATATTGATATCATTGAAGACATGCAGCAAAACCGATTTTTGCTTCTCTTGAAAAATGTAAAAAAGGCACGAAAGAGCCACAAAACAAGGTCTACCCTGAATAAAAACGTTACATAAGTTTTCAAAATCTTCATGGAGCTATTAGGTACATGCCTTAGGGTGTTCCGGTTTAAGTGCTCCATCTCATAATAAAATTTCACGAGAAGTACGATGCCACTATGAATGTTCCCTGAAAAAACTCCCAAACTCAAAATAACCATTAAAGCTGAGGCTGTAATGGAGGGAATCTCCCGCGATATGAGAGAGTTTACCTCTATATCCAGTCAAACTTTATGTGCCCGATAAAATAAGATGCTCAATGAGAAGTTCGGATATTGACTCCTGAATGAGATATCCACGAGGATTTTTAACACAGATCAAATAAGATAGATTATACAGACAAATCCATTCGTATTTATGCTGTTTGACAAATGATAATTGTAAACATTTATATCAGGAGCTGATTTTCAGACTACTCCCCCTACTTTCATAGGAAGTGTTTAGTTATTAATTTGTAGTTGCTTTTTTGCCCACAGGAGTCCACAGTCACATTGTCTGATGGATCAAAGTAGCAAAATCGAGCAACTAGATCATAGTGGTAATGGAGCTTTGCCAGGAGAGCGATTCGATGCTCATCAGCAGTGTGAGTGATATGACATTAACCTCCATAAACTAATGTTATAAAATCTAAAAAAGGGTATTTTAATAGGTACAGTACATCGATAGAGGGCTGTTAAATTCTATTATATCCTAATATATTTTACACGTACTTTTGGCATGTGAAAAGAAAAAGGTATCTTGGAAAATATTGTACTATTAGCTGTTTTCTTTCCTTAAATTTTGGCATTGCTACTGATTGGACGTATTTACGCTAATTAGAACAATATGAACAGGGTTATTTAGCGAGAGACATAATTATTTTTAGCATAATTACATAAAATGGGAGCTATTGCATGCCACAGGCAGTCAGGGCTAGATTTAGGGGGTGGCCACATGGACCGCGGCCCATAGCGGCAAATTTTGCAATTTTTTAAATGTAGGTAAAAAAATCGGATTCAGAAAAAAAAATTAAAAACGAGAAAAGGCGACAAAATCTCTCATTTCCTGAGAGTGTAGTAATTTCTAATTTTGTCGTCTTTCTACAAGAGATAGCACCTTTAATTAGTCGAGTTAAGAAAGAAACCAAACACGCAATTTGACATGGAATGGCGCGGCCCAAAGAGCAATGATGACGAGGACTTGAGATGAAAAGGAGAGGCCCTCGGCGCGGCGGTCGGCGTGAAACATGGCGCCTACAAGACTGTAGGAATACTTCACACATTGCGTCAAACAAAGTGCGTTCTGCAGCGGTCGGCGGGAAACGCATAGCGCCTACAGGACTGTAGGAATACTTCACGCGTTGCGCCAAACACACTGCACACTGCAGTCAGCGCGGCGCGGCGCGGCGCGCGGCGGCGGAAGTTAAAATTATTAAACCACATTTCTGTTTGTTCTTTCATAATTTTTTCGTACATACATATACATATAAGTCGCTTTACAGCACTCCCTCGCGCTCTACGACTCCTAACCTCCACTGCTCTCTTTCAAACCACAAATCTTGGGGGATTGAGCACCTTAACATTTCCGCTTCAATCCCTTCCCTCCAACCTTTCATTGGGCGCCCTCTGCGGCTTCTCCCAGGAGGAACCCAATCAAGGACCCTCTTCGGCAACCTGTCTCCTGCCATTCTCTGGACATGACCATACCAAATGAGTTGTTTTGTCATAATATCATGCACGATGGTCTGCTTGGCATCCATGATCTCCCGTACCGTCTCATTCCTGACGCGATCCTTTCTGGAAATACCAGCGGATCTACGCCAGAAGTTCATCTCTGTTGCCTCTAAAACCTCCGATTTTTTCGTTCAATTCTTATAAATGGAGAGCCTTGTCCACACAGAGATAGGTTTACGGAACCTAACTTTCGAGCAAAGTTCCGTGAACTTTTGCTCGTAGTGTTGACAGGGCTTTTGCAAAAAATAATGTGTCCAACATAAGTAAACGCGTCTTATGCACCCCTTTTCCTCCGGCGTTCACTAGATAGTTTTTATTCATGTCTCCAAACGAATGAGAAGGGGACGGCAAAATAAAGGCAGCCCATGGGCGGCAAGTAGGTAAATCTGGCTCTGCAGGCAGTTACAATTTAAGTGCTCTATCTCATGTTAAATTTCACGAGAAGCACTATGAGGCCACTATGGTGTTCCCTGAAAAAACTCCCAAGCTCAAAAAAGCTCCTAAAGCTGAAGCTGTCATGGAGGGAATCTCCCGCGTTATGCGAGAGAATCCACCACTATATCCAGTCAAACTCTCGATGCCAAAGTAAGTAACAAATCCATCGGTATATAGTTGCCATAGCTGACGCGTTGGAGTCCCCGCTAAAGTGGTAATAATTATGATAAAGTAAGTAGTAGGGCGGATAAGCATAACAATCGTGCATTTCTGGAAGAAAGCATGAAACTTTCAGGATATCATCTTTACCTATAGAAGGTTCAATTTCGCAAGTGAGCCCAAAATTCTGAGGCCATGGGGGCCGGGGGGGCAGGGGGCCCTGATTTCGCTATGTTTTGCCAAATTTTCGCGTTGGATCGTTGTGAGAACGCCGTTAACAATGTAAAATGTAATCAAAACTTGTGTAAACGTCATTAGTAGGTTCTCTCAAACAGTATCCTAAAATGCTATCACTGTCCGATCCCGGAGCACCCCTCAAAATGCCTAAAATTCAAAATGGCGCCCATAATAAGGCCTCCGGAATATCGGTATTTTCACTTGTGCATATCCTGTCATGTGAGGTATCAATTTCCTTATAATTTTGGTCGCAGATTTCATATTTGAAGTCAAAACAACCCCCCGATCAAAATTGGTGCCCCCAATCCAAGATGGCGTCCAGATTTGAAAGGCCGGAGGGTGCATTTTTTAAACTTTTACGCAATAAGGCAAGTGATATGTCATTTCCTATGTAATTTTGGTCGTAGATTTCATTATTGAAGTCAAAAAAGCCCTCCGGTCAAAATTGGTGCCCGAAGTCTAAGATGTCGGCCAAATTTGAAAGGCAGGAGTGTGAATTTTTATTAGAAAAATAATCACGTGAGATGACAAGTGAGGTATAAATTTTTACGCATTTTTAGTCAACAAAACGAATCTAAATGAAATGTAAAACAAATCTTTTACACAAAAATGAAACGAGATAATCAAGATGATTGCCATCATGGCTGACAAGTGAAAAATGGTAAGCCACTAATAGTGCGGTGTCTTGCTGATTACTGCACAAAAACTCTGAACTCAATTTCAGATGCCCTTGACTCAGAGGATGAACAATTAATAAGTACCGAAAATAATTTAGAAAACTTTCAGTCGGTTTCAGATGGTGGGTCTCTACTCCATCGAGTGCGATCGAAGCATAGGCATACTTACCTGCGAATCCATTGCACAAACCCATATTCCATCAAATTGATGAGCAGACACCAATGTTTCTTTGCGTTTTCAAAGTGATGTTAAACGCGCAAAATCCGAGATGATCGCTGTTCTTGCATGCGTTTACTGGTTGCGATTCAACCCCTCACATCCATAAAATAGGAACAGCAACTTTATTCTGTACGCTTTTATCTGATCCTTACCTGCAAGAATCTAAAGAAAGGTTCTTGGAACCTAATCAAAACCATGAACGGATATAAAGAGCTGGAAAAGAGTAAATCGATGGTGAAACTGCTTTAATACTATTTCGGTTTGCGGTGTTGCAGATTTCTTGTCATACTTCAGTTCCTTCATTAAAAAATACTGAACGTCATTTCTTGAAAACTTTGCTTGTTTTCACCCTTTATGTGAGGAATATTCTGTAAAAATTTCAAGCCATGATGTTGGTTTGGTCCCTTTTCAAAAAATAAAATAGGAGCGAATATTTTGAAATCCTGCAACCAAGATACGCACTTTTGCTGTTTCACCGTCGAAATGTTACTCCTCTATGGTAGCCAAAAAAATGTGACTTTCGAAGACCTACGTCATCATATATCGAAGGAAAAGTTCCAGCTTCCAAAGTCTTCATTCAATTAGAGAAATTACCCTCGATATCATCAGCAATGAAGTAGGNTAAAAGTTTAAAAAATGCACCCTCCGGCCTTTCAAATCTGGACGCCATCTTGGATTGGGGGCACCAATTTTGATCGGGGGGTTGTTTTGACTTCAAATATGAAATCTGCGACCAAAATTATAAGGAAATTGATACCTCACATGACAGGATATGCACAAGTGAAAATACCGATATTCCGGAGGCCTTATTATGGGCGCCATTTTGAATTTTAGGCATTTTGAGGGGTGCTCCGGGATCGGACAGTGATAGCATTTTAGGATACTGTTTGAGAGAACCTACTAATGACGTTTACACAAGTTTTGATTACATTTTACATTGTTAACGGCGTTCTCACAACGATCCAACGCGAAAATTTGGCAAAACATAGCGAAATCAGGGCCCCCTGCCCCCCCGGCCCCCATGGCCTCAGAATTTTGGGCTCACTTGCGAAATTGAACCTTCTATAGGTAAAGATGATATCCTGAAAGTTTCATGCTTTCTTCCAGAAATGCACGATTCTGGGAACTTTTCCCCCTTATCCGCCCTACTAAAGTATACTGCTCCCCATCTGTGCGCACGGAGAGTTTGACTGGATAAAGGCAGACTATTATATTGCATGAGATTTTCTTCGTTACGGCCTCAACTTATAAACCTTTTTTTGAGCTAAGAAGTTTGTTGCAGAGAGGACCAGAGGTACCATCGTGTCTCTTAAGAAATTTTACATGGAATAATGCACTAAATAGCAAATCTCCATGGCAGCTATGACATACAAGAGCTCCATTGTGATTATCAGTGCATAAAAATCGCATCAGATGAGTTGGTAGTTATGGGCTTTTTGTTTGCAAAGCGACTGCGCCGCTGTCGTCCAATAGCGATCGAGAATTGACTGCAGGCCGTGCAACTGAATGGGCCCAGATACATAAATCAGTCTGTCCACGCACGCGACTGCACCTGGCAGTTAAAAGTAAACGACTGTCAACATATCTGGCGCGAGCTCGATGTAACTAGAGTACATATACGGAGAGTACGGACATGCCAGTAATTTTGGAGATTAGGCGATGGAGCTCTATAGGGCTCAAAAGGGCAGCCAATCTATGAATTCAACTTTTATCCAGAGTGATTTATTATTACAATTGTTACGATGCGTTGTTGGTAAAGCACGTACTTGACGTAGTTTTTGCATACATTTACTTATTTTTTGCGGAAGAACGCTCATGTATGCGAACATTCTTGCCCATTTTGATTTGATATTGGAATCAGCAGGTAGACAGTGATAATTTTCGATTTCAAAGGTTGGCTGTTCTTTTAGGCCCTAAAAGCTCCATATTTCGATGTGCTCGTACTCTCTTTATACAGGTACTCTAGGTACATGAAACCATAATTTTGCAGCAGCAGTAGGTATAAGTTGTGAAACTACAATCAGTCCTACTTTCGAAAAACAATATTTGTTTGTTCACCCCAGAAGTTAATAGAGGCACGAGAGTTACCCCTAATACCTAGAGTTAATAAATTCATACGTGTGTGGTTGGTTACAGGCATGTTAAAATACGGGCGTGGTAGTCGCCATGCTATGAGCCAGCCTTTAGATGACATTTGCCGGGATTTACACTGCAACAGGGATCGCTATACGTGGACCTCTCACCCTGCTCTTGAGGGAACTATTTGCGGACCTAACAAGGTGAGTTATCTCATGCTAACACCCTCACGGTTTAACAGTGAGAGAGGATATTGATTGGAATTAAAGCAAAAAAAAGCGCCGACTCGATCTTTGAAAATTGCTTGAATGTGCACGAGAAGTTAGTTTTCAACTTGCAGAATCTTTTGGTTTCAGTGATGAAAGATAGGCCATAGTATGGAAACTTAGGGCAGACGCATAACTATACTCGTTCAGCGTGACAAGATTTGTAGATAGAAATACAGAATGAAATGTTACAGACGACGCGGAAACACGGAGACTTTGAGAGACTTTGACGCAAGAGGAGAAAAGTAAACCATGGAGCCATATCCATAAGAATCCTTGAGATTTGCTAATTTTGCTACGAAATCCAAATCAGCTATGAAGCATCAAGTGTTTTTTTCGGAGGGATAGCCTTTCGTGCTCGCAGGACGCAGTTTATCGTCCATACGGCGAAATTGAAGCCGAACTTCAAGTGGACTGTAAATGCCAATAGGTTTGCGCATTTTCTTTTGGCTCTAACGAAGTTTAATGAGCGAGATATATCATGTATGTTTTTCGAATATAAAACTACTTTTTCCCCTTGTATTTTTAATAATATTGCGCGCCCCCAAAAACCCGTTTCGAGAAACCTCAATCAACCCTCTTACAGACGAGACTCCACTTGCGTGAATGTACTACTTATGCGGACTTACAACTGGACTTGGAACTCCCCTTCGCCACTCCAGCCCATCTAGCGTCTTAAAAATGATTTTATTAGAATACCATAGAGAACATAGAGTCGTAATGTAATTGGGAGAGCTGGCGCCACTTTGAAGCATTTTCCATGTCCCGAATTCCGAGATTCCTGTGTGACGCCGGGTCACTTTTTCGATACATAATCGATTGTTTGCGATACACGGGTACCTGGCCATCCGATGACAACAACAACAACAACAACGGAGATAGGAATTACCACGTATTCCACATCGCCATTTTGGATCGAAAATGTATCGAAAAAGCGACCCGAACTCGGCGCACACCGGGCTCAGAATTCGTCGAGCAGAACATGGCGCCAGCTCTCCCATTTACATTACGACTCTATGTACTCTATGTAGAATACAGAGGATTTTGCACTGATGGGAGGAGTTTTTTTCGTTGGTTTTTGCAGTGGTGCAGGAGTGGTCGGTGCGTTGTGAGAGGTCAGATGGTGGAGGACATGGGAGTATCGCGGCCGCACGAGGTGATCGACGGCGGATGGAGCGAGTGGTCCGTCTTCTCGGACTGCGCCTCGGCGTGTCTCCACGGCGAGAGTGGCGGATTGCGGACCGGAAGCATTGGCGTCATGGTTTCTGGCAGAAGATGTAACAACCCCAGGTCAGGCTCAAATTTCCTCCCAATACCTCATCTGCGTCGGCACACATTTTGGAGAGTCTGCAGTATGGCACACCTGTCGCAGCGGTGTATCGTGTTTCTTGTAAAAAACGTTTCGGCGTTTAGCTGTTCTGCACTAGAGTCCCTTTATACTGAGAGTCAAGACAATTTGAATCCATTTCTGATTGGTTCCCGTATTTTAGGCCTCCACAGCGTCACAAACGGGAATAAAGATTACATTTTTACCGATTGCAAAGATTATAATCTGGAATGAACCAGAGAATTACGGGTTCGGCAAGGAACAAACGGAATGAGAGGAGGAACCAGGAGGAACGGAGAAAGGAATTTGAGAATGGGCCGATCAAAGATTACGAAAAACGTTCAATTTCTGTAATCTTTATTCCCGTTTGTGACATCCACGAGCCGAATTGCCTTGACTCTCAGTATAAAGGGACTCTATTCTGCACTAATGCTGCCGTGCTAAGGAAAAACGCCGTATGAACATTCGAGAGTTGCCAAGTTTCTTCCGATAAAACGTTTATTTTTGAGGAAAGCTATGAATATTATTCCTTGAAATTTTCAGGATTTCTCCGTTGCTAAGAGCAACGAAGATGGATTTCTGGAGGAGGTCGGCAGGAATTTTTAGGAGAGATCGGGTCCGTAATGAGAGAATACGTCATATCATGGAAGTCGAAAATGACATCGTGTTCGACGTCATGACCAAACAGCTTGTCTGGTACGGTCATGTCAAGAGGATGACGGAAGAGAGGCTGCCAAAAAAGATGCTTGATTGAGTTCCTCCTGGGAGGAGACGAAGGGGACGCCCAGTGAGAGGGTGCCGACAGGGGGTATTGAATGAAATGAGGGAGTGTCAACTCCCTAATGACCTGTGGGAAGACCGAGTTTTGTGGCGATTAGGCGTCGCACAGCGCCAAAGAGCGCTGTAAAAGCGACTCATGTATGTAATTTTCAGGAACTTTAGATGAAATTGCGAGCATACTTATCAGAAAAATGAGAAGAAAAATACTTACTTTTCCCGAAAATTCGTGATTTATCAAAGGAAATTTGGCAACGCTTGAAGGTTCATACGGGGTTTTTCTTAGCACGCAGTATGCCTGAGTCGTCGTTTTCCAGACGAAAGAGCGTAACTCCATTCCAAAGTTGCAAAATTGACTCAAATAGTTCGATATTTTACAAGAATGTATGCCTGTTTGATTTTTGTCCAAAATTTTCCTGATTTTTGCATGACATCTGAGCAAAATCAGTGAAATTTCTTGTTAAAATTGCTTAAGATTCTGCTGGTAAAAATGCAATTTACGAGAGGAAATTTGACAAAAATAAAATTTAGTTACATCCTCTCGTGAGGGAAAAGACGAAGTGGGCGGACTTAATCAGAATCAGTCGAACTGCATCAGACTTTAAAATCATTGCCTACGTTTTTCTTAAGTTTAATTCTTTAATCTAAAACTAAATCTAAAACTAGAGTGTATTCTTCATGATGTAAGAGAATTAAGAGAGAGTTTCAAAAAGGTATGCTGTTGAGGTCTCCGGTAAAGAAGATAATATCCAAAAGTAAATTAGGCAACGCGCCAACTTCAAATTGACGTATTTATGCTGAAAGGAATTATATTACACGAAAATCCTATGCACATAGTTCTTTTTAGCATAAATACGTCCAATTGCAGTTAGGCTGCTTCAAGTTAAAACCGTCCATTTTTTCTTCTTATTTTACTACTTCAAAAACCCTTCAAGACGTTGTCTTGCGTTAAAAATTGAGATCCATATCCGCTTAGTCCCTACTTTCCGACCAGCCCCGAAAGCCATGCTTTTAGAGCATCAAACTCTTATCGCCTGTCCGGGAATCGAATCTGAGGCCTCCCGATCATAGAGCCAGCGCCTCTACCACTGCATATGTAGAGACTGGAGCTTGAAAAACTATTTAGAATCCGCTGGACTGCATTTTCTGGCTCACTATAAAAACAACAAACAGGGCTATCTAAAAATCACGCACCGCTGGCCATAAAGGGGGTGGCCATTTGAAATTTTTGAGTTGCCCCCCGCCCCTCCTCCTCTTGAGGGGATCAAAAATTGGAAAGTACCTAAAAAGTTTCCCCCTCAGTATGAAGAAATACGTTTTACACCGCAAATCGATATCATAACTAGAACTAAAGTTATGGCCAGTGGTGCGTGACTTTTGAATAACCCTGTATGCGCACTTGGTTTCCCCATGCAGATAGATGTTTTTACTTATGAGCCAATAATTGTAGCACCTTACTGCAAAATGAAGTCTAGTTATTCTCTCGGTATCTTGGTCTCTTATATTATCGTGGTCATGAGCCAATAATTGTGGCACCTTACTGCAAAATGAAGTCCAGTTATTCTCTCGGTATCTTGGTCTCTTGGTTCCCGTATGGGGGACTGATGTCACAGGTTTAGCAATCCTGCGGACCCCAGCTGGTAACCCCTGCCTCATGGGGTAGTGGAGATGGTCACCGGCTTCAAGGCGTATGAACCACCCATTGGAAGGGCAGACAGGGCTCTCAGCTGTAGTGGAAGCAACCTGTCTAGGAGAGGAAACTCCGAAATCAAACCCCGGTCCTCCAGGTTGGGGGTTGAGTCATCGGGCTAACTCCCCGATACTCGGAAAAAGGAATACTGTTAAAAGACCCAATAACAATTGCCTCGGTACAAATGGAAATAAACGGATTTATCGGAAAAAATTACGTAAACGGATGATGGTTTTTGGAACATGGAACGTACAAGGAATTTCTACGAAAATGACGGAAGTGGTATCGGAGATAGGGAGTCACGGATTTGATGTCACGGTATTAACAGAAACGAAGAAGAAAGGACAAGGCTCTGTAAGTGTAAAGGAATACGATTTGTTTTATAGTGGCGTGGAAAAAGATCAGCGAGCTCAACAGGGTGTTGCAATTCTTATTCGCAAGAGCCTACGGAAGTGCATCACTACATGGGAAGCTGTTAACCCCCGAATGATAAAGATGAATATGACAGTGTTTGGCCATAAAATCACCATTTTGGGAGTGTATGGAGTCAACGATGATTCCACTGTCGCAGTGAAGGACCAATTTTTCGAAGAAATGAACGAGGAAATTGGTAAGATTGGATCCAGGAGGGAAATCATTGTGTTGGGAGATCTCAATGGTAGAATAGGACGTCAAATTAAAAGTAAGATCGTCGGCCCTTTCGGAGAGGCGGCACTAAATGATAACGGAGCCCGTATCATTGACGTATGTGAGCAAAGGGACATGAAGGTGCTCAATGGGTTCTACCAACACAAGGATATCCATAAATTTACTTGGGTTCAGTCTACTCGCGGATTGAAATCAATCATTGATTATGTGGTTGTCAGACAAGACACGGGAATGAAGATTCAGCAAGTTAGAGTGTGGAGAGGTCTTTCCTGCGGCAGTGATCATTATTTCCTCGGGGCAAAAATAGCTTTCCCAGTGAAAGGGAGCCAGGAGACCAGGCAAGCACAGGAAGAAGTTCACCAACAAAAAGATCGTGTCAAGTTTGTAAACTATAACATTGACAGCTTGCAGCATCCAAGTGTAAGGGCTTTATATGGAAAGCGCTTGGATGAGAAGTTGGGCGAATCAAGGGACGGTGATACCGAACAGCAGTATCAGTTCCTGAAGGATTGCATTCACTCGGCAGCAATGGAAGCTCTTGGTGTCGCTGATGATAGGAAAGTTAGCGAAAAACCTTACTGGTGGGACGAAGAAATTGAGAAGGAGATTCAGGAGAAACGGAAAAAATATCATCAGTTCCTTTCCTCTAAAAAAACAGAAGACAAAGAGGCGTATAAAAAAGCTCAGACGCAGGTACGAAGGCTCATAACCAAGAAAAAGAACGAATCTTGGGAGAGGAGCTGTAACAAAATAGACACGTACATAGGAGGAAGGAAAAGCACTGAGAGCTGGAAGTTGCTGAAAGGGCTGCGAAGGGACATGAAGCGTGACTTAATATCTCCGATATCCATTGATAAACTGGAGGGGTATTTTAAAAATTTACTGACAGAAAGGCGACCTGAATTTCAAGATGGAGGCGTAAGCTTGGAGTATACTAACGATAATCATAACTTGGAGATCCATATGGAGGACGTGGTAAAGGCCGTACGAGAGCTGAAGAACGATAAAGCTCCAGGTCCGGGAAATATCCCTGCTGAGTTGATCAAGTGTGGAACCTGCAAGCTGTTTCAACGGTTGAGATACCTGATGCAAGATTGCTTGGACGGTGGAAAGGTACCGACAGAATGGAAAGAGTCTTGGGTGTCACCTATATACAAGAAGAAGGGTAGAAAAGATGAGTGTGATAACTATAGAGGACTGTCGGTTGCAGGTACCCTGAGCAAAGTGTATGGAAAAATCTTGAAAGCAAAAATTGAAGAGGAGTGGAAAGAACATGAAGCGGAAGAGCAAGCAGGTTTCAGAGCCGGTCGGTCAACGATTGATCACTTATTTACCATCATCCACGTCATAGAGAAAAAGAAGGGAGTTGGCCAGGAATTACATCTAGTGTTTGTGGATCTCCAGAAAGCTTACGATAGTGTGCCATTGATGAAACTTTGGGAAGCCTTGAACAAAAGGGGTTTTAGTGGGGGACTAATTAGTGCTATTAAGGAATTTTATGGTGGGGCTTTCTCTAGGGTTAAATCGCATGGGGAGTTATCGTTGGGGTTTTTAATTACTAAAGGACTGAAACAAGGGTGTTGTTTGTCGCCAACCTTATTTAAAGTGTACCTGGAAGAAGTTTTAAAGGAATGGAAAAGATGCTTTTCGGGAATGGGCGTCCCGCTACGTGAAGATGGCACCCTTTATACTCTGTGCTTTGCTGATGATCAGGTGGTAATAGCTCAGGACGAAGAAGATGCGAATTACATGACGCGGAAGCTAGTGGAAGTATACCGAAAGTGGGGAATGGAAGTAAATGTGGTTAAGACGGAGAAGTTGGTTATCGGTGGTGATCAGCAAAGCATTGAACTGGAGGATGGCCGGAAGATCCTGGACTGTGAAGAGTATAAATATCTCGGAGTTCGGTTAACTAAGGACGGAAATTTGGATCGGGCCATTAAAGATCGGAATGTGCAAGGCAGGAAAGCTATCGCGATGCTAAATGGGGTTCTCTGGGACCAGAGTATCTCCAAGGAGACCAAAAGGAAAATTTACAACGTCATCGTGAAGAGTATCGTAACTTACGGGAGTGAGGTCTGGCAACTTAAGAAAAGAACTGAAGACATGCTTAGGGCAACCGAGATGGACTTTTGGCGAAGGTCTGCTGGGATATCGAGAAGAGAGCGTATCCGCAATGAAAGGGTACGCGAGATAATGGGTGTGGAAAAGGACATCGTGCACGATATCAGGTCCAAGCAGTTGGTCTGGTATGGACATGTGCGAAGGATGGCAGATGATCGGTTGCCCAAGCAGGTCTTCGATTGGGTTCCTCCCGGAAGGCGACGGCGTGGACGTCCTGTGAAAGGTTGGCGACAAGGGGTGGAGGAGGAGATCAGAAGGTGCCAATTGCCTGATGATCTCTGGGAGGATAGGGGGCAATGGCGATTGGGCGTCGCAGAGCGCGAGGCGGCGCTATAATCGCGACTTTATGTATGTATGTATCTTGGTCTCTTATATATTATCGTGGTCATGACCCAATCTCCTTTTTCTATTGTGTACTGCAAAAATACATTTTTACCGCACCCCCATCATTTTGACGCATCTATAGGAAATGGAAAGCCTTCTTGGCGGCTAGCCTCTGAGCCTATAACTTAAGCAAATTGTTCTTATTTCAGACCCGAAAATGGCGGAGAAGCTTGCCAGGGGAGTGATAAAAAATATAAGACTTGTGAAGCCGAGCAGGTAAGCATGTTCTCTCCTTATCAATATACATGGATATCTCTAAACCCCTGAACATTCTTAAAACCTGGGTGATGAGCTTGTTTAGTAATTTTTAATTGTTGCATTTTTGAAAAGTAGAGTGCGCTTAATTCATGGGAATATTTTCGGACACCGAGAAAAAAGTGATGTTGATTTAACATTCTGGATGTAAAAAACATTTGCAAGAACTTATTATAAAATGCTAAATCAACTTCTGCACCAGTTACTTTAGCAATGCCAAGATGCAAAACTAACTGTTGTGGCTGGTAATTCAGCATTTCAAAGTTCTCGCACACTTTTTTTACCTCCAGAATGACTTTCTATGGATTTTTGGGATGATATTAAACCACAAAAAACGAGTTCAAAGCTGAGCTCAAATATTAACACTCATTGCGCCACCGAGCTGCCTACAATGTTTTAGGAGTTAAATTAAATTTTTGCATGCGTATCATAAGCTGCCACTGCTTTGCGGCTTGCGATTTCGAAATAAGACCCCCCCCCTCAATTTTTAGGCGCCAAAGCATGAATTTTAGGCACATTTGGTGCCTGGAGAAGGCACTGGTTGCCACTTCTCGATTTGCTCAACCTGATTTCCGTGCGATTTTACCTTTTAAAAGTTCACTCAGTTGGCTGTATCTCTTAAGTGCAACAGACCCATTGAATCGTTTTGATTTCATTACCTTCATGTTCGCTGATTAAATCTGTTTACGATAGTGCAGTCATGTAGCTCGAACAACCGTGCAAGATTTTGCTGATCAAATTTGCTCACGGGCAAAGGAGGTGGACTCAGAACTGATCGGCACTGGAATACAGAGGACAAGCTCAGATGGTAAGCAGCAATAACTGTTTTGATGACTAACTTACTGACGGTGTTGACGTTTAGAAAAATTATACCCATTTCTGAGCGGGTTTGAATATATTACACTGCATTAAAAACTATTAAAAAGAAAGATTCATGAAAAACGCAGGTGGCTGAAGAAAATACACGCTTGAAAATAATATCATTTCCGCACTGCAAAATGTTGTCTGACTGGAGAAACGCATTTTTCGACTTTCCCTGGTAAAAATTGGCAGTAGAATCTGTGTTCCAAAATACCATAGACATACAGCCGGCTGTAAGATTTCCAATAGCTTCTATAGCCGGCAACACATAATTTCTTATAGCCTTTTATAGCCGGTAGCGACTCAGCAACAGCCTGGCGATAAAGTGTATGCTAAACGTTACTAATTACGGATGCGAGGACTTAGTGAGTTTTTGGACCACTGCTCTCTTTTTGGGCCGTAGTATCTTGATTTATTTTGCTAGGAAAGCTCCGTACTTTTGATGGATGCCTGTCATTCCTAATATGTTGGAGAGCCTTCAATTTCGTATGATACTGTGCAATACCTCTGGTGTGAAATAGTTGCTTCAAGCGCCGTGGTACGCTGCGGCGCGGCGCGGCGGGCGGGCAGCCAGCGCGGAACGCGCATTGGCGCCTACAAACCTAACAGGGATACTTCACGCATTGCGCAATGCGTGAAGTATCCCTGTTAGGTTTGTAGGCGCCAGTGCGCCGCTGCTCCGCTTTGTGTTTGATATTTAATCTCGTGGAAACAGCGTTTTTCAACTCATGACTTCGAAATGTTTGCACACTCTGTATGGATTATTCTCATTTTAATTGATGAAAAAAAATATGTAGTAAAGGAAAACATAATGTGCGTTTTGTAAATATTAAGGTGATTCCGTACAAACTTAAGAATTTGCAAAGCACATGAATTTCTACACAATTTCTTATAGCCTTTTATAGCCGATGGCGATAAAGTGTAAAGCCCGGCGATAGGAACTATAGCCCGGCTGTATAATTTTTTATCGCTTCATGTAGCCCGGCCGTATGATTTTTTTCCACTTTCTACAGCCAGCTATATGATTTTCTATCGCCTTCTTCAGTCGGCTATAAGAACTCCTATGGTATTTTGAAACGCAGCTCCTACCGCCAATTTTTACCAGGGTTAACAATCGATATGATACAAAATGTAGGTGATTTCAGAAAGTCAATATGGAATTTAAATACGGTATATTGTGTTTTTTATATAACCTACGTTGGCAGTTATTAGAAAATTCAGTGCGAAGAAACGGATTCATTTTGTCCCATTGATTACGATTTGCCCTTGAAAAATTATGCTCACAACTGAATTACAGCGAAACATACTCTGTTTCCCCAACAAAACATGATTCCTCCACGTCAAGTGGTTCTATTTAATTAAAAAAGAAATTTTTAGAAGTTCTTGTCTGTGATCAAACTGACACAATATGTAAGTGAAACAGTTGAAAAAGCTCGAATGTAGTTAATAGGTTATGAATAAATATCGATTTCAGCCGAAGAAGTCTGCACTGTGTGGTGTTACAAGCGTAACGGAGGATACAAAAGCAGGGGCTGGACATTTCCGGATGGTACAGCATGTTACATGCGCCGATCTTCAAAGTCTATGTACTGCATCAGCGGCGTTTGTCGTGTAAGTATTAAAAGCTCAATGTGGCAATACGTTGATTCTTGAGGCTTCCGATACTATAATAAGCGCTAGGACACTTATATTCTTAAGAAAATATTTTCAAGCAAGCATCACAGAATTCCAAATTCTTGACAATTCTCTCCAAAAAAAAAGGTGCTATCCTTTTAAACTACACGAATGTAATGAAGTAAGTATTTTCTCAACAATTATGTAGATCGACTTAGGGACTGACTACACTCCATCTCTGTATTTAAAGTATTTTTTCGCTGCTCAGAAATTCTTATACTTACAGACTCATATGTTAGCTATTTAAGTATGATAAACCGCGCGCCGAGGCGGGTCCGGCAATTTGGCGACACTGGATTTAATTTCACTTAAAAATACCCAATGAGGGTTTCCTTCAACAAATTTCAACAATCTTTTTAAGAATTGTCTCTTTTAACTCGTATACTTCAAACTTGTTTAAACAGTCATTGCTCCTAAGAAAGTTCTCAAATTATTTACAATCCTCTGACCAAGGAAACGTTCGATTTGTAATTTTAGGAATTCCTGTGCGACAAGTTCGCGACAGAAAACTCCGTCTACTTGCATTCACCAGAATTATGTGTTCAACGGCAACACTTGATCTCACGAGACAAACGAAGAGAAGTACCGATCGGCTCCTGGGTTCCAACAACTGAGTGTCACTCTAACTGCATGGGCCATGGCTCAGGAATCACTTTAGTAGAGAAAAAAATTTGTAAAATGTGCAATTCTACGATTAATTTACGACTTTGCCGGTACGACGAAACTGTAAGTACTTCCAATTTTACCTTTCCTGGTGGTTCACGCATGTAGCTTTTTAAACTAAACCCCCCCCCCCCCGGCCTTTCCTTTCAAAGCCGTTCATGCTCACTCATTTCCTTTACAGTGATTACTCTAATTAAAGCATAACTGTCCTCATAAAGTCTTAGCACTGTATGAACGAGCACATGTCATTCAGGCGGGGTACAAAAAGTTCTGGAAGCGTGCGAAAACGGGAGGCTGCGCCCTAGAGGAGATTTCAAAAATGGGAGGGTTGGCGCGCATTGGCGTAATAATAGCATATATGCCTCCAAATTGAGTCAGATATCGCGTATTTCTTGCATAAGCCGCCGTGAAAAGTGTGCATTCCTTGCAAAATGCAATGTGTACGTATAAAGAGAGGAAAAAAGGTCATCGGTAAGAAATTTTTGAAGAAATAGGGGTTTTTAGAATAAGAGAGTCAACTTGAGAGGTGGGAAGACCACGAACTTTCTGCGTACTTGGTGTCATTGGCTACAGAATTGGGATGATTCATTTTCAACGCGATATTGTCGCTAACGTTTCATCATTCTTTAACCGAACGTTTACTTGGATAATATAGAATGCAGAAATATTTTTGCCATGGAAACTCCATCCTTGCTCTGGCCCTGCGAAATGCTTGAAGAAAAGAAAAGCTAGGAAAGAAACAAATAAAATATGTCTAAGTACTTTTTTTTCTTTTCTTCAAAATGTTTGTGTAGTGCCATACCTGCCTAAAAATAACAGGCTTATCTTGGTAACACACTGGGTTTTGTTCCTTACCTCTCGAAGGTTTCAGAGAGAAAAAATTTGTTTCAGAAGTTCTTTATTATCAACGAATGCCACTACTAATGCAATAAATCTGAAGTGCGGACTCAAATAGGTAAATAAAAGTCGTTTTTTTTTTTTCAGAAATGCGGGAAAGTTGTGTCAGTTGCTGACCATGCCACAAAAATTTGTACAAAATACAGCGCCAAAGTTAGGAGACTGTCTGGATTAGGTATGCAGATATCAGCAGTATCAGGTGAGCATTTCAAATTGTAACTTACAAGCATTTTGTTTTAAAATTTTGGTAGAACCCTTCTGAATGTTTTGATCGCAATAACTCAATTCTTAGAGTTTTGGACTAATGTTTCTTGTCTTTCATGTTTTTTTAAATTTTTGGGACGGTCACTCATAAGATAACAAATATTCAATAAAAAAATGATTCCTCAATAGCTGATGACGGATGAGAGCATACATATCGATGGTTAAAGAGCGAAATCACGTGTCTCCATTGTCCCTTTTTCCATCCTTTTTCCTTAGCACGGCAGAATTTTAGGCGGGTACACATTGGAGTGATGCCTCTATAACCCTCTTCAAACGTGGTGTATCAAAGCGTGAATATCGAATAAGTAGGAAAACTTAGTTGAACAGTATCGTAAATGAATTCTAACATTTTATAATTTTATACATTCTTTACACATTTTCATAAATGCTAATTTATTTTTACATGTTCAATAGATGATCCCGACCGACCATGCAGGCTTGCATGTCAAGATGAGGCTGTAAAACACAGATTTTATTTAGTTAATGGAGAGGATGGTTGGTTTCCTTTCGGCACCGATTGTAGTTTGGGAAATTCTGCGAGAAAAGCATACTGCATCAGTGGGAAATGCCTGGTAATTCAATTTCCTTTCCAATGTTTGTATATCTCGACCGGCGACCTCAACGGCGAGTCATACGGAATGTGAACCACCGTGCACTACGAGTGCAAAAGAAATCGAGGGCGCCTTCAAATCTGTCGATATGCAACACGCTCCATCATCGAGCAATAGTTGCAATTGGTCAGGCGTTCATATCGAAGACGTGTCCGCTCGTGAGCAATGAGAAACTATCCTTTTACGCTTTCGTTCTCCAAGTTAAGAAACCCTTTTCGTTCTTTTTCCCGCTAAAATGCCTCTTCGTACATTCAAAAGTTCTTAATCACTTGATTTTAGTGAATTTTGACAAAAAAAATTTAACATAGGTAAACTTTTAGTATTTAATGTTGCGTGTGGGAAGTAGCAATTTATTGCAATGTATATGCTACTTGAAAGTGAGATCAAATATTTATTCTCGTAACGTATACTTTTTCAATAATTACGAGCGAGAAATTACCATGTTTTTAAGTTAAGCATTTTGGTGACTTTATGGGTATCATTGTTCATTACACAGATATTCTTAGAGCAATCATCACCATTCATCGCATCGAATGTTGAGTATTCTTCTTATGGATCTTCATTTACAATATTCCTCTAGGTTTGATTTTACCATGACTTTTCTTTCTCATTTGCGTGATGATACTTTTGTCATACTTTTTGTGATCAAAGGCCGTGTATTGCAGGCACAATGAAAGTCTTTTTTATTTTTTATTTATTTATTTTTATTTGGTTTGAGTGGTGGATTTTAATTTTTACTTAAATCGTAAGATCACGCTTAATTTGACCCCCTTTTGGTTTTTTCATTCTTAAGCGGACATTTTTAAGTATTTTATGCTGATGGTTGAAAACATGTCTATCAAGAAATGGCCGTTTCTGGACTGTGTTATGTATAGATTTTCGATAGCTTGTCCCCAAAAAAAAACCCAAAATTATCAAGATTATAAAAACAGAAAGAAAAAAACAATTACAACGACTGAGAAGTTAAAATGAACTAAGGTCCTTAGCGACTAATACTGTTTTAACTAACAAAAATTAGTCAGGAATGACCTAGTTATCAATGTTAAAAAGTTCACAGGTTTCTTAAGAAAATGGAAGTAGGTATGCAACATTCAATAAACTAGCTCCGTTTAAATCAAAAGGTACCTAGCGGCAAGTGCGAGGAACTATTCGTACAGTGGCGTGGCGTGCTTTGCGATATATCGATTGATTTGCCATTTAAACCTATGGTAAAGAATCGATTATTAAGGTGTTCGCTGCGAACACCCTGTTTATCGATTCTTTTCCACAGGTTTAAATGGCATAACAATCGATATATCGCAATTCACGCCACGCCACTGCATTCGTAATACATATTGTTGAATGCCTACAATAATGCAATCTACGTATTCCGTTGCTGGAGCACTTTTAAGCCATTAATAACAAAACCACTCCTTCACATGCGAAATCTCGTCGATCCTCTGACGTAAAAGCGTATCTCGATTTCCACGTGAGTCCTGTTCTCCGTATGACTCTATGCTTTTCGGAGCTCACGTAGGAATAAAGGTACGCTCCCACGTCAAAAAAGCGACGATCTGTGGAACACTATTCAGAAATTAACTTGGTGTAACATAATTATTGTACTTCTAAGTATAAGTCGCTCGTGTAACCGAGTTACCTGCATAAAAATAACAATTTTTTAATTCCAGGAATTCGGAGATGATGGAATGCCATTATTAGAATTGGATGGTCCTATGCTGAGACTACATCGAGTTAGGAGAGGAACGTATCGCAATCAAACAAGTGAACCTGGTCCAAGATCTCATTTATTCCATCATATCATTTCAGAAATACAGAATTTAGGTACGAAATCATACCTGGGCAAAAGTAATCCACTCTCAAGTTGAAATTACAATTTGGAATGGTTTTGGGTATTTTAGGCACTAAAGACAGAATGAATCACCAGAAAGAGTACTAAGTTAAGTGTGTACGACAAAAAATGTTTCCTTGTCGAAAAATTACGTAGCATGCAATGGCCGTACGGAAACTTTTCGAATTCGACTTTTGAGTGAGAAAATAGCACTTTTTTGTAAATCAATTCACACTTCCCCTCCCAAATAACTAAAGTCTACTAGGGTTAAATCGAGTTCTAGACTAATTTTGAAATGTTTTACCACAAAAGAGGTTTTCTATTAGGCGACTTTTTTGACAAGACTAGAGGTATCATGTATCAGAGAAGGAGGCAAATGGATATGGAAGCAAACTCCAATACTGTCATGCTAAAGAAAAACACCGTATAAACCTCCAAGCGTTGCCAAAGTTCCTTCGATAAAATATGAACTTTCGAAGATAGTTAAAGTTTTTCTTAGAATTTTTCAGTAGGTACTTATATTTCTAATATTTTTTTCAGAATTATTCACAAACAGATCAAAATTATCTGAAAAAGAGAAAATATTTATAACTCCCTCAAAAGTAGGCATTTCATAGGAGGAAATTAGGCAATTTCTAAATGTTCATACGACGTTTTTCCTTGGAAAGACAGAATTATTCGCTTAACATGCGAGTTGTTTTCGATGGCTTACAATCATTATAATTATTTAACAGGCTAGAGGTTTGAGTTTACTTTCAACAGTGTTTAGTGTTAACTATACACGTTAATTTTTCATTTATGACTTAATTTTTGAAGGTTTCGATGTGCTCTACGTGAAATTTTGGTAAGGAGGAATGCTTTGTAAAATTTTAATCTTCACCCTGTCTTCGTGGTCCATTTCTTAACTTATTACCTAATTTCATTCATAAAAAGTAGAGAAAATTTTTTGTACAGAATGATAAAGACAATGAAATTTAAAAAAAAAAAAATTAAAGGAAAAAAATTCGATTCTGCATTCACGGATACAGTGTGACAGCTTTTAAAACAATTGCTTTTTCAATTGGGTTTGTAGATTTTGAATGTACTCTTGGAGCGTTTTTTTAATTTTAGTGATTCAGTTTTATTTTCATTTGATTTTTTTTCTCTTCATATTTCAGGCAAACTAGACCGGAGAAAGAAGCCATTACAATATTCAATCGATTTCAACAACCCTATTGTTGTGAAACACTCCTACCTTCCAACACAGGATGATAGTAACAAAATTGAAGGAATACTAATGAAACTAGTCACATGAATTCTGTAATAACTGCAACTTGTTGGGTAAACAAAAGAATTGACACACAGGGGAAAAAAATTCCTTGATGGATACCTGAGAAATCATGATGAATTCCTGGCTGAAAGTCGAACTTTTATATCGAGAAAGCTAAACCTAACAGCAGGCTAAAATTTCCCCAAAACTTTAAGACAAAACTAGTTTAAAAAAAAAAAAAAAAACTACCATCTTCGTATTTATCTTTCTCGACTCAAGTTAAGATTCCGAGACTCAATAAAGTGCGAATTTTAGAGAAATGAAGACAAGATTTTGCTACCTACGAAAAGCTAAAATTAAATTCAATGAAGTGCCTTATTGACCTCGGTATCAAATGAAAAATTCTTAAACAAATTTTAAAAAACAAACATTGATTAAGTTACGATGAAATTCAAAAAACTGAAGCCATTTAAAGTAATTGGTAACTGCTAAAACAATATGTGTACACAAGCTATTGTCATTCTATTAATTTTAAGGGTAAAGCCAACTTGGGAAAAAATGAATTTTTTCCAGCGGCTGAATTTTTTATGTGTAACGCCTTCCTAAAAGTTTGTTCAAATTGTTAAGTTCCCAAATCTCTCAGTTCATGTAAAGAGTGCTCAGCTCAATTTTTTTGTATTTTTTTTTTTGTATTTTTTTTTTTTTTTTTTTTTTTTTTTTTTTTTTTAATTTTTTTTTTTTTTTTTTTACTGAGAATTGAATGTGTAAAAATAAATTCAATCACTTGTTATTAGAGTCATTCTTCTTTATAAGTCTCCCAAGGCTTTTAATAGAAAAATCCCTACATTCTCCATTTGCCATTTTTAAAACTTCCTCCTTGTACAATGAAGGAGAAAAGCAATTGAGAGGGGTAAGGGGAAACATTGAAACATTAAATTTTTTAGAGATGGGTAATTCCAGGCTAAGTGTTACTTTTTACATTCAAATTTGAGTGGCAGAAGCTTTTTAAAGAAGCAGCCTCTTTCCATAGCATGGTTTGTGCAGCCGCAAGGTTAAAAAAAATCACGTACTTATTAAAGAATTTCCAAGCACTTCTAACGATCTTCTTTGTAATTTTTTTCTGTACACACAGTTTTTTACTTATGTCCTGAGTCTAAGTCAAAAATTTTAGGTTCATTTGAGGGTAGATTGGAAAATTTTTGTGAAAAGGATGTCTTTCTCTACAAACTGCAAAATGTCAAATGCTTTGTAATTTCTTGGAACAGCAATCATTTACTGGGGATATTTGGTGAGGAGAGAAATCCAATACTTTTCAAACATCTCCTAAAAAAAAGCACTTCCAAGGTTTTTAAAATTAATTTCAAAGCAAGCACTTTCGAGGCCGCACAAATCATGCATAGGTACTTTTCCAGTTTCCCTGTCTTCTGATTTTACTTTAAAATGCAAGATGAAGGTTTCTACTTAATTAAACATTTCTTTCCCACAATGTACGTGCCATTCTTGCCCAATCCCAGAAAACTACAAAGAGGTGGACAATTTAAATACCAGAATATGGTAAACCTAGGTCTAAATTAACCTTTTCATTCCCTTCTGGGCTAAAGAGAGACGCTTTGTCTGCTCTAGATATTTTCCTTCAATGAAAATAATTACTCATTTGTTCCTATCTCTTGTGGGTCAGTAGAAGAAATAAATTTGTCATGTTTTAAATGAAATGAGACCAAATTTTATCACTTATGATTTAAGGAATTTTATATAATCACATACTCTTCAAGTAACGATGTGGCAATATCAATTTCACCAGATTCCATGTAAATCAAATGTAGATTATATGCAATCTCTCTCTTCAAGTCAAACATTTCAGAGTCAATAACAGGTTTGCTCTTGAGAGCTATATTGTAATGATACGCAGCATGGTGGAGTAGACTTACTTGATGAAAAGCGCGTCCCATATTATAATGGATTTCTTGAGCACAATCATCACCTCTGTTCTCAATGTATTTCGAGAAGAATGCAATGCCTTGTGAGAACAACAAATGCTTACTTGAATATTTTTGGCACACCAGCTGAATAAAACATAGAGCAGTAAGAAACGCGAGAAAAGCATTTTCAGGATGCTTTTGGTATAATAATGCAAAATCATTTAGAGCAAATTTGTGTGCAATGTGAGATATTAAGCAGCAATTTGCTTTTAAATGTATGATATAATAATTGCTTTGCAACCTCGATGTGAGTCGGGTCAAATATTTATAGACTCGCTGATGATCGATATAATCAAAGAGTATTGCCATGAGATTCCATGCCCTTGTGTTTTCAAAATTGGTTTCTGTCAATAATGCCCTGCCAAAGTCAAAACCAGCTGAACCGTCTTGGCAAAAAAAACAACTTATAAACGCAAAGAAGTTCAAGTCTGTGATGCTGCCAAATTTACGAGATGTTAAAGCAGAAAATGTTAGCCTCTGAAGTTTATGATACTTTTTCCTTCTTATGAATAGATTACAAAGATCAAGGAAGAGTTCATATTCTTGTTGAATAGTCGGAGTTTCATCAGTTTCATGGAAAACTGGACCATCATCATCATCAATCACTTCATTTCTCAATTTTCTAATTTTTGTTATGGCCTCTATGCGATTCTTTGCCGACCTCAGGTGAGCCAAGGCTCCCTTTTCATCTAAATTTCTAATTTTTCCAAGATGTCTGTACAAAATTAATTCTGCAAGATTCACAAATTCATCTTCTTTATTTTCATCACCTTTGATTAACATGCACTTTTCATAGACGAGCTTCAAATCGACTCCGGTCTCATAGTTACTGAAACTTAGAACTTTCAAAGCATATTCTTTCTCTCCAACTTTTGTCAATAAGTCTGCTAATGCAAGTCGGGCATCATTGTGAAGAGGTACCTTTTCCAAGACGATTTCATAGGCCTGAATAGCTTCTCTGTACTTTTCCACAGCAGTTAAACATTCAGCCTTACGAATCCATACGGCAGGAAGGCTATAATTTTTTGACTCTGTTAGAGGATTCAGAAATGTTAATGCCTCCGAATGTAAATTTTCGTTTATGAGAGTCTCAGCAACGTCCAGATACAAATCTCCATCTTTGTTGGGGTCGAATTTTAAGATACATGAGAATATTTGATCAAACAAATGATTGCTTTTCATTAGTATTAGCACGATGACAAGTTTTGCAAGAAAGTCAACCATCATTCCAGTTGGTATACTTAAGCTGACCACAGAAAACGAGTTGTTTTCTTCATCAACATCAGCCACAAATTCCAAGCCGCAATGTTCAACCATAACTTCCAAACATTTAATAAAATCTTTGGTTAAAATTAAGAGCTCCAGGTACAAATTAATATGTTCAAATTTAACAATATTTGAGCAATTTATAATTGCTGACTCTAATGCATTTTTGGCACTTTCATAATCATTCTCTTCCCGAAAATAGTATTCGGCAAGTTTCTTGGAGATCTCCAGATCTTGCTCATATTGATTGCTTTTCCTGGCGATATCTACCATCTTTACAAGACTACGAAAATAGTTTTTTTTATCACCTAAACGGAGTTGAAGATCAGCTCGTTTGGCTAGTAAATCCAGACTTGGATCTTTTTTTAAGGCTTGAGTATAACATGTGGCAGCTTGTTTTATATTTCCTGCTTTCTCCGATTTTTCAGCTAGTTGTAACCAAATCTCAGTATTACTTGGATTCAGGTGAGCCCCAATCAGGGACATTTGCATGGCCTTATCACTGTTTCCGGAATCCTCATAAATGTGTGATAAAGTGAAAAATGGCTCTGATGCTTGTGGATGTAGTCGAATGACTTCAAGACACATTTCGGTTGCTGCTGATATATCCCCTCGTGCGTAACATACGTTTGCTTCACCCATGAGGCCGACTAAAGCTGGTGGTAATTTTTTTGGCACACGATCTCTTTTGGACCTTGATATCCTTTTCTTGGCTGGTGATCCATCAGAGGTTGGTTTCGATACAGTTTTTATGTTTAGATTAGTTGCAACCTCTGAGACAAGAGCTTCATCATCCTCACCCCCTTCTAAATCACCATCGCCCATTTGTTCTGCATACTGAGCAAAATCAATATCTCCCTTTAAAAATCTGTCAATTAACTCACCACTTGGCGGAAGAGTTACTTCTTGTGGAGGATCGTCTGGTAGAGAGGTGTCTTCAGGTGGGTCTTGCAATGGAGAAAAGTCACTGCCTTCGTCACAAGAATCTTCTGGATCTTCTACCTCTCGTTTCAGAAAAATAACATGAGGGGCGGTTAAGGCGGATGATAAGATATTGGCATCTTGGGATCCACTTGATAGAGGGTATGATGTACTAGCATTGCCAGCACTCCCATGAGATGCTGATGGCTGATCAAGTAAGTTTTCTGCTTCTGATACCTCATCCATCACTCGAGCAATTCTGAAAATTAGAAGACGAAATTCACATGAAAGTTGATTAACAGCATGATTTTGGCCACAAATTATTGTCTCTTTCTTCCCTTCTGGGAACTTCTTAAAGCAGATCAAAAAGTTATTAAAATCTATGCTCAAATGAAAACAGATTGCTCTTCTTAAAAAAGAGTAGATGAACTGCTTTGAAGAATAAGTTATTAGAAACCACTTTCAACTTTTGGAACTTCAATTATTTTACAGGAAGGAAGTAAAATTGATAATGATCAAAATACCTATCACATTTTGCTTTCTGGTGGCAAAAATCTTAATAATACGCAGATTGGGGGTTAAAATAAAAAGTGCATACCTCCACGCTACTTACCCAAATCAACAATCAAATAGATCTGAAAAAGATCAGTTTAAAAAATACAGGGCATATCGACGGTGCAAGTCGGCAATCACATAACTCGGTTTGCGACGTTGCAGACTTTCTGTCATACCTACCTTAATTTTTTAAATGGAAAACTACTCAACAACATTCTTTAAAACTACCATGGTTTTTCTTCTCTGTGCAAAGAAAATTCTGCAAAAACTTCAGGGAGTGATGTCAATTTGTTCTCCATTAAAAAAATAACATAGGGGTGGAAAATTTCAGACGCCGCAAACGAGTTATGCGATTACCAACTAACACCATCAATATAGCTAGTTCCTGGGTTTATTCAGTGCTGCGTACAAAAATGACCTCGTCTAAACCTAGCAATTTTTCACCGAGTAGAGAATTTCCTGGGGAAAGACAGGCTTGTTCAACGCTAGCAGTGAAAAATTCCACTAAAGCTACTATCAAACCAGCAGTCCGACTGTACAATCAATAACATCCATAAGCTAAGTGGGCGGCACAGTCTGTGCACATGCGCATGCTGTCAAACAGTACAGACAGTAATGCTCCCTCATGTGACAACAGCTAGACACAAGTATTGCATGCCTAACAAATTTCCCCTGCTGTTTCTCATTGGCATGTGTTTCCAATCATATGGCATAATCTAATCACAACAGGGGCACCATTTGAGATTTTTGCAGGGCTAGATAACAAGGGGCGAGGGTTTCTTTTCTCCCCAGTGTAGCAGTGGGTAGCAGTAATTATGTTATCAACAAGATCGTTGATTTATCTGACATAATCTTGGATACGCACATGTTCCAGACTCCTGCCAATGATTTTCTCTTCATCCTTCCTTTTCTCGTTACTGTCCCAGAAGGTTTTCCCTGGTCAGAGTAGAAAGAGCGGCGCTCAGCTTTTCTCCCCTTCCAATGGCGCCCCTGATCTTTGAGCAAAAACTATCACATGCAGATGTTATGAAGAGGTTTCACATTCATCAGTGGGCAGAAAAAATTCATGAATATTTTTCAAGAACGGTGCAGATGTCCATCAAATAGTTGAAGCAAGAGTGTGAACAACATCCCTACCTGACTTGTTATTGATAATTCAAAATCGTTGAGATCAGACGAGTGATTTTAATCCTTGAGGATCTCTTCAAGTTTATCAAACTTCACATGATTCTCAGGACGGAACTAAATTGAGTAAATCTCGAGATTAATTATGAAGAGTTTCATGTTTCGCACCATTCGCACTGATAACATGAGGTAAACATAAACAAGAAAAAAGTGGGGTTATGTTTACGCTAACATGTTGACCATGTTGACTGATGAGGCTTTCAATGGCGCCTATAGCTGCATAATTTAAAATAAGCGGCAAACATTTAAATTCAACGGCGGGGAAAAAAAGAGCGCAAAAAAGTTAATTTTTTATTATTCTTACGATTCTGAGACCGTGATTGGTTCCCCTATTTACTTCCAGCAGATAATGTAAAAGCAATAATTTCCTAAGTGCTAATAATTTTGAAGTATTTTTGAGGGTAGCACAGACCCACATGTAACAGAGTTTTCAAACATAGGAATTCAATATTAATAAATGACAATTAAGTAGCTATTAAAAATTCAAAAATCAGGCGATGAAAATTGTCAAAAATAGCGATCTTATAGCAATCATCCTGTTCATAACGGAATCTCACTGCCGGGAGAAATTTTTCAGTTAACATCAGGTCTCCGTTATGAACAGGTTTTTAGCAATGCGCAGCAAATCCACGGGACAGGAAAAAATTTCCGTTAAGATCGATTTTCTGCTCTAAGCAGGCTCCGTTAAGAACAGGTGGGTTTCACTGTAACCACCTCGCATTCAAAAATCGGTCATTACTATTCATAGCAATAGTTTGTACCTATTTCACAAGTAGATTAAAATTGCTATCCATTAGAAGTTTCATACCTATACATAGACAATAAATTAAATTGACTATAAACAGCTAATACATCACTAGCAATCTTGAAATTCTGCTACATAAGAGAAGAAATAATTCAGTCAAATTTTTGAAAAATCGAAATTTTAGTTGTTTCACTTAAATTAGTCCCCGAGAATATATTACGGGGGAAAATGAGCTCTGGAGTTTACTCTTTCTTCTCAATATGTCAAGTTCATTAATGTCATATCAGGGACGGTACCAAAAATAAACCCCCAGAAGTAAAACATGTATAGCCCAATAGCGTAAAGGGAGAGTGTCGAGACTCACCCCAAAAGCATTTGAGCAAATTTTTTGCGATTCCAGGTACCGCGGCATCGTAGTAAATTTAAACATCAATACATTTTTCGGAGAATTGACAATGTCGCGATAAAAATTTGTGATAATAATAGTTGACTTCGTCGGCACAATATGCGACGTTAACATTACGGTGAGGTGTAAAAAAGAAACAAGCACAGTTCCCTTAGTTGGTGTCGCATGCGACGAGTACTGAACGAATTTAATAATAACGCCTGAATGCAACTATTCGAACCCCATGGATGTCCATATTGCATATGCTAGGTAATGAAGGCGTTTTGGCGCTCTCGGCACTCATCGCTTCACTCGCGGCGAGCTGAACTGCGAGTATCCACAATTACGGACCTCGTTTCTACTACGAAGATAGGTATCTCTCAGGCACAAATAATTGCTCTACAAATCATACTCAGTGCATCGCTGCATCAAAACTAAAAAACAGCAGATTCTCACATCCTTTACGCAAGAGCGCAACTATTCATGCGTAAACGATGTCTTTGAAGAGTAAACGAGGGCGCTCTGTCATTATTTGGATTCTCGCGGTGCAATCCGCACAGCGGACACAGTGGTGAGTGGTAACTGCCTCCAGAGTCAAAACGCCTAAACTTCCGTGCTTATGCAACACGGACATCCGTGGGGCTCGAACAGTTCATCCAATCTCTATAATGAAATGCGCTTAGTGTTCATTGCTTTGCTTGTTTCTTTCGCACCCTTTCTTTAAATTTCAAAGTCGCCCATTGCGTCGATGATGTAAACTCATAGGCGGATCTAGACACTTCAAACGAGGGGAGCGTAGCCCCCTACGCTCCCCGGCTTAGGGGGCTTCCCCGAAAATTTTAAAATTTTGAAGCGTTTAATACCTATGCACTTTGAGTCGATGTTGTCATGAATAATTACCAAACATAAGCGTCTTTCCTTCTTCTTTCCTCCGTTCTTTCTATCTTCCTTTCTTTCCATCTTTCTTTCACATTTTTTCTCACACATTTTTTAGTGTGTTAGTGCCACGGGCGGCGACGATGCATTTATGCTCTTCTCTACTTTTCTACTCCGCGCTCAAGTCTCCAAACAAATGCACGTTCTAAGAGGCGGTAGTACCGGAAGATTATAATGATGCATGTTTCCTAATGAAAATTTTACTGTGAGCTTATTATCTATAAAAATGTTCAATACCTTCTCATAAAGGAGAAATTGGTCGTTTTCCTCAAAGTAACAGAACAAAATTATGCAAACTTATGTGGAAAAAAATCTTAATTTTTGAAATTTTTTGGTTGAAAAGGGGTAATGTCGCTTCGTTGCGCAGTTAACACTTCAAAAATTTTCAGGGAAGAGCCCCCAAACCCGCTTCTAGCTAAAGTCCCTCCCCACCACAGCCACGTTTCTCACACAAGTTGGGAACGGCGGCAAATTTTCCGTTGCCCCCAGTGGCGAGTACGTAAATCCAGGCCTGGGCACCGAGGTGCTGTAA